CTTCTAGAACCTCTTTCTTTTTTGTCATGTCTAAAGTGTACGAGTGGTAATGCCGAACACAATAGATGAGAAAAACGCATATAAGGTGCGAATAAATGCAGACGTCAACAACTTTACTTTTAGCAAAATCTGCTATCTCACCTTCGCACCTGTGGATATTGCAACTTTGCAGTCAAATAGTGTTTGTTATGGTGAAATATACTCTAGTTAAACATATTCAAATTTCACGCGATTTGGTCTACTAAGAAAAAAGTTATGAACGAAAAAACGTCAAAGCGTTTCACCGAAGACTTTTGAGCGCTCCTGTACTTCGAAGCGCCATGACTTGCCTCAAAATTAACTTCATCTGTCGAAATAGAGCTTGTTATTGTTATTGGGCGGTTAAAAAAGCGATAGCCGGCTGGGAAAAGGATGTTCCGATTAGCTTGGTGAACATTGTAGCTTATACTATTTGACTTTAGCAACACCACCTCTGGAATAAATAAACAGCATTTCTCGTGTAAGAGATATGGGATTTTTGTCTTCTAACACCGGGCGAAGAAGGAGAAGTTTTTGTGGTATATCGACCGCTCATGTACAATACTTCTTTGCGGTGATGAACTGTTCGGTTTTATGAAGTATTGCACCAGTATTGCACACAATTATATTGTCACCATGGGCTTCACCGGGTGTTTCGGCTTTGGGAAGCGCTTGAGCGCTTCGCCTTACATTTAGTCCGTTCACTGAGCAGGACGTGCCCTGCGTTTTAGCATAGCCCAAGACAACGATTTTTTGAGAACTTTCAGGTCACTCAGCACTTGCCCCTTTCAAATTTTTGACCTCTAACTACTTCTTCCCCATAGTAGACATTTTCCAGGGGTCAATGCCTAGTTCTGGGATACCACTCGGATTCTTTTGTGGAAATCGTATTCGATTACCTTAGACAGGTAGTCGTCAAATTCGGAAGGACATCTGTTATCTCCTTTATCTTTATCGTGCTTCTTTAGCGAAAACGAAACTTTGGTAACCAGTGCTGTGGGCTTTCATCGCTCCTGACAGCGTTGATAACCCGAGCTTTGTTTGCTGTATTTTTCCCGGCTTGAGGTGTAGAATAAGATTTGGAGAAAAATCACATCTGGGCATATAATTTTCAGTCTTGGTACTGGATAACAAAGGGTTTTCTTCGGTATCACCTCAGTATTATTAGCTAGGCGGCTAATAGTATTGAAAGCGCTGAAGTTAAAGGTGCGAGGTCCACAAAAATGCAACGAAAATATGGCATTATTCTTACATCGATCTAACAGGATTTTGATGGTGGCAGTTTTACGCGTCATAGCTGAATGATATGATTAAGCTTCGACAAATATTTTGACAGAACTGATTGAAAAGTTTCATTATGTCGACGTTCAGCTTGAGAAAGCTTAGGCATCAAAATGACCGGGGTGATTGTGTGCAACGAACATTCTCGAGAAGTCCATTTTACTTGGATACGGCCTGCTGAATAAGGTGTAACCTGAAATTTTTGACTCTATGCATCGGTCTTGGAGGAGAAGACGTAGCTTTTCTCCTGCTGAATCGCTCCATGTGTTGATAAGAGCAATAGCTTCTCGGTCCTGGAATAGATGCTCAGCACTCCAAGGTACTGTTTATGTAGTGAAGCAACTGACCTTTTCTAGTATCTTCATGAGTAGGGGTTGAATAACGGAGAGAGCCTCATTAGCTCCTTCGGCGTACACTGGGGAGATTTTAAATAGGTGCTTGCTTTGACCTCCTGTCGGTGTCATGGAGGCAAATCCCCGTATTTGGGATTTCGAGTCGAAAAGGACTGCGCCCTCCGTGAAATCGAGGTCGAAATGGAGGCGAAGAAGTTGAGATCGGTCTCGTCCGCAGACATTGTTTGCGTACGACAGCATTGCTTTGTACTCTTCGTTGCTGAGTGTACTTACTAGTTTGGTCAGTGAATTCTGAAGTAACGCAAGTTTGAGATGGAAGCTTACTCTTTGTAGTTGTGTGGAAAGCCAAATCAGGTAGGGAAGCTCGGTTAGAGTCTTCTTTCCGATTCACATCAATAGAGCATAAGTTTTCTTGGATAAAAATGGTCTAAACTGCGAAGCTACAGCGAATTTCTTAGTAATCTGCTCCATTCAGAGGTGCTTTTTACAATTTTCTTTTCGATTTCTATTTCATGCTAAGGGGTGAACGAGGCCAGTCATTTTTGATGAGATTTTAAATAACTTTCAGGAAATTTGGACGCCAAGACAATGATGGGTTCTTTTAGTGATAGTTTATCTACTTCTGTTTTTCTGCGCGCTCTTTTCTTAAAATGCTCCTATCTCTTGCTTTAGTTTTTGCTAAGTGTTTGTGCTTTCGTATAGGGCAGGGAGGGTCAGATGGTCACGAGGGATCGGATTTGTAGGAAAAGGCTTTTTCTCTTATTCCGTTATGCATTTAGTGTTATAGTGATAAGTTCATGAAAACATACCGGAAGTATGTGAGACTCGACTAGTTTTAAGAAATCAGGGACAGCAACTCTCTGATTTACCGTATACTGCCCTTCAATCGGCATGTCCATGGATTTGTAACGAGACAACATGTATTCCACTGGAACTTATGGGGTATAGAATAGATCCACAACTTTTGAAGAAGATGTTAACTTTGTTGTTCCTTTCAAGTGATCCCACAGAAAGGTTCATTTGAAAACAAACCCGATCGTAATCCTATTGTGAAGTCGGTCGGTATCCGTTCTAAAGCTCGCTTCCAGATGGCTGAGCCGATTCCATAACCCCGATATTCTGGTCGAATAATGTAGAAGGCAATATAAGCTAATCCATCGTTTTCGCACCACACCACCGAACCGAGGTAGCTGCCATCTAAAATTGTGAATGTCTTTTGACCTGATTTGAACGATTAGACGTGGAAGTATTTGGCTTGGTAAATAGTGCTAAGGTATAAACGGGAAGTGTAGTGGTACCAAGAGGACCCAATACGGCATGTATGATACGAAATCGAAGCAGAATTAGCACCCGTCTAAGCCAACCAAGCTTTTCATCCCAATGAGGAAAGGACGTTAGTCCCACTTTCATCAGGAGAAATTGGAACTGTGACTTGTACATCGAGTGACCCCACAGAACGATTGCCATTGAAAAGCAGCAATGAAAAACTGGTAAAGGAAAACCTACACTCAAAAATAGTATCGCCCCATCAATTGAGCTGGGTTTGAGCTGTAACATGGCGTGTGCTAACGAAAGGTCGCTGACATGGCTAGGCCAGGTCCCCGCGCACGGTCACCCGGTTGTAGGGTGCTTTCTTATGCATCCCTGTCCGCAATGATTTACCTCCCTTCTTGTCATCGGCTCTGCTTTCGATTCTAAGTGGTAAGAGCTTGTTAGTTCAATTACAGCCTGGACCTGTTCCCAGACCAAAAAATTACCTATTTTGTTTCGAGCGACTACAACATTAGCAATTTTTGGTAGAATACTGAGCACGCTGTCATCGGCGCCGTTCACCCATCCTTCGGCTCGCATCGCGTCCTTCCAATCTCTCCATGAGTTGTCATCGGGAGGGATATTATCGATGATCTCAAACTCCACTTGTTTCATTCTAAACTGTCAAGTTGACGTTTATTTCCTTGATTTCGGAGCGTTCCGGCGACCACTGCTCATTAATGAATAGAAACATAGACTAGACTCTTCTGAAAAGTTCTCGGAGACTACTTGAACGAATGGTCGGTCTGTAAGGATACTTCGAGTGTAGCTTTATCACGATATACAAGACATTGAGTGGGATAATTTCAACAAAAAAATTATTGGAGGCGTGAAAAAATGAAATACGGGAAGTAGATAAAGCTTATAAAAGGTAGACGACAAATAAGCTGTCGAAGTTCACGAAAAGTCGTAAATGATAAGAAGTTATGGGCTTGTTTATAACGATAAAACCGAAAAGGTGTGAGAGCATTAATTACCTAGACAGTATTTGTGATGAGTAGGTGGTTTGGTTAATAAATGACGTCTAGCGATTACAACTGAGATTGGCGGAATCAAGCGTCGTAATGACCTGAATTGTTATGGGCTATAAACAATCGTTGTTTATCGATAGGATTGTGATACTCCTTACTGAAGAGTGTAACGCCAGAATATTTTGATGGAATGTTAACCGAAGAGAATATCGGCAGAAGAACTTCAGAACCAATGGTCCCATCCAATACATGGAATAAAAAGCGAGCATCAGCGTGAAGGCTCCCAACTTTTTTGATCAAGGGTAGAATAACAGCGAAAGCTTCATCACCAGAGGAGGCATAAAGAGGAGCCAATTTGAAGAGATGGCGATGAGAATGAGAGGTGGGACAAACGGCCGCATAGGCAATGATTTTGCCATCGTCATCAAACAGTGCAGTGGCGTATGTGAAGGACAGTTCGTGAAATTGTCGAAGGAAGTGACTTCGATCGCGTCCTACCACGGAGAAGCAGAATTCTTCCAGTTGTTCGTACTCTGTGGGCTTGAGTTCGTTGACCATCTTCGTGTTATGTTTCTAAGAGAAGAGTTTGTAAGGTGAAAGAGAATATTGAAAAGCTCTGCTGAAAACCTTAGACGCGTGAGCTTTTGCAACTTGAGAAAGCGTCTCCACGTCCATTTCGTAACATCGTAGTGCAGCTCCTTCTACTGGTGTGTCTTTAGACTTGTATCGTTCAGCCATGTTCGGAACTTAAATATGAAATTAGGTAAATATAAGAAACTTGAACTTCTGGACGAATGTTCGCTAGTGTGCTCGAATTTCTGATTTACCTGCTCTTAGTGCAATTGTGTAATGCTTCGGCATCCTACGAATTGCACGCTCCCAAATAAGTGAACCAATGCCTTTTCCACGGTATTCGGGCCTTAGCAGATAGAAACCGATAAAAGCAATATTGTCATATTCGTTCCATATGACAGTTCCGATAAAGCTCTTATCTAAAAGCTGATTTTTATATTCATCGTAGCGGATTGAGGTTATTTAGATACGATAGATTTGCTTGAAGGCACAGGGCACGATTGAAATAGTTTCTGAGATTTCTGCGTGGAGAAAAATCTGTGACCTCCAAGGATGGCACAAAGGGCGGGGTTGAAAAACGGCCCAGATTAGATATAATAAGGGCTCTTAAACTGACATGGGCGACATACACACCCAAAGGCGCACGAGCTCTCACGGCGTTGCAGGGGCTGCAGAGGTTGCACAATTCGCACCGGACGCACACGAAGCACGCAGCAGCTTGCTATAGCCACTGAACTCAGCCACACACAACCAACTCGTCCAAATACCCCTTCCATGCTTCTTTTTGTCGCCAATTGGTCGTCTAACCCCCAGTTTTAGTATTTTTTCAGGGCCTGGTTCATCTCTGAGTACGCCATTTTCGTGTTTTCCTCGTCATTTTTGCGCTATTCTGAACAATCACTTCCATTATCTGTTGAAACTAGATAATCTAAATTTATCGTTAACTGTACCTTCAGGCTGCATTCAAAACTCAAGCCAAAGTTTAAGGTCTCGGCCAGATGACGTGTTCTGGTTACGTGGTTGTTGCTTTTTAGACTTCTCCCCTTGAAACCTTTATAGCATCGGACCCCTGTACTTACAAATTACAGTGCTTACCATAGTAGAATAATTTTTGTCGTCAGTCATTGGAAGTATAAAGTGCTCTAACACGTGAAAAGATAATGCTTCTTACCACTACATTTCCGTGCGAGAACTATTCGCGTTGTCGGCAGGTTAGGAGTGAGAGTCAGTACGCTAAGATCGTCAGAAGTCCATCCTTCGTCTTCGACCAAAGTCTTCCATTCTTGCCATGCATGATCATCGGGTGAGATAGAGTCGGTTATCTCGTAGTCGTTGTCTTTCATAGCTACGACTTATTGTACGATGGCTGCGAATTCCTTAAGATGAGATGTAGGGCTGCAATGAAAGTGGATTAGCACTGTGAGCTCAATCTGTAGAAAGATTTCGTTTGACGCGATGTGAAAAATTATCAAATAATAACCTTATTGGCAAAGAGCGCGCTCGATAGAGTGCCTCAGCTGCGAAAAGTTTCGCTTATCAGAATTGATCAAATAAGTCGAATTGCACTGCATTTCACTGTTCTTTTCTTAATTGCGCTGAAGCACTCTGGTGGTAGAAGTTTCATTTGAGAGGAATGCTGCTTTATCCCCTCCTTCCTTGACTGTGTTCCTCATCACTAAGCCGATCATTATAGAAAATGGCTCGCTAAGTTCAAAGATTCAAAGTTGTTGAGCAACTCTAGTCACATTGCGACTGCGCGTTCTGAGACTTACTCTCGTCCTTTTGTTCTGAGCCTTCTATTTCAAGCAGGATTTCGTCTCATATGAGATCAAGTCTAAGTTGTAATCTGGGAACTCCCGGAAGTATTCAAAGAAATAAAAGAGGCCAGGAGTCTCTTAGAAGCATGTTGGCATGTAAGCGCCTGTTCTGCGAGAATTCTCAGCGGGTATTCAGGTTGCTACGCTACAACGGAAGTACAGAGTGCGATGTTCATACAAATGATGCTCGTTTTCGAAGCGTTGAAATTAACGTTCGCACGACGCCATCTTCTAAATGACCCAATTTGGCAGGAAACACTATAGCGACCCATCCAGTTACATACAAACCATAAGTTGCCTATTTTCTTCAGGTTGTAAGGTGTTTGAGAAGGTGATAACCACAAAGATTGTTTGTGAATATATTTTCCATGATTATACGATCCCATTTGTTCTTAAAGTAGATGTAAGAGGAATGAAAAAAGGTGTAATGCGAGTTTTCTTCTTCGAGTCGTTTGTATCTTAAATTCTACGAGGCATGTTTCTTGTGAGACACGTCAGTAATCCCGCGGTTCGAGCGCCTGTAGTATCTCTACCCATCTCTTTCACGACCAATTTAGTCCAGTGGACAATCTCCGCTCGATGGGCAAGAAGATTGATGAATTTCCTATCGTTCAGAGGGTTTGTGAAGAGCTACGTTTTCGTGTATCTTGAAACTCTGAACTTTGTCCTTTCCATAGCGTGGGGGTTGATGTTATCTGCATGCCCATCCTATTCACGTAGTGTCCGTGTCTCAGAAGCATATGTCCACTCAGGAAGGACCTGTCCACTTTTGATGGTTCTGGAGCGGCGTCTCCCTTGTGTTCCTCAATGCTCCCTCGATGCTCTTAAATGCTTCACTCGTTTCCTTAATTTCTTCAAACTTGGTTGTTAAACAAGCTGACTACTCTACTCAGATTCACTAGGCTAATACATTTAGCAATGTTTGTACAGTTGAGCGTAAAAGCGTACGGTTGGAGAAATACGAAGATAAATGAATGCTGAGAAGATTTCGGCAAATGAGCTCGGAAAAGCTAAGTATTACTGAGTTGAAAGTGGTACTGAGTAAAGTGCAAGTACTTATTAGTTTGAATGAAATTCGATCACAAGGTGTTCGAAGGAAGTACCCGATCATTGGTGAAAGTGCAAAGCTCACCCCGTCGGTTGTCAGAGTGTAACGTGATATGCAAAATGATACGATGACGCCTTCGTTGGCACCAACTTTTATTTGCTTTCGAGAAAACCAGGGTCCCGCACGTTGCACAATGAAATCGGTAGCGAATAAAACGAATGTTACCCCTTTGTACCGACCCTGAAAAAATCTTATAATAATGTATCTGAATATTTGTTCTCAGTGCCGTATGTAAGGCAAGGGGTAGTTAGAAATGGTTATCGTCGATTATTGTCACTGGAGTGCTGGAATATATCCTGTCACTATCCACTATCCACTTGTAACCCAATTCTGGGCTCTAATGCTATAAC